TAACCGGCCTATTGCTAAATCTGTCTACCTGTCAGTGAAGCTTCTTTGAAAATTGTCACTTTGGAGATTTCCAGGACAGATCTCAGATCTTGCACTAATGGTCTGAGTAGCAAGTCCAAGCTCTGCTCATAAAGCCGAGTTGAAGCAAGAGGAAAGATGCCAAGGCAGGGGATACTGAGCCAACAGCAGTAGAAAGGGAACTACAGGTATCTACTCTTCTGCCGGCTGTACCTACCCTTTTCATATTTGCTTGTATTCCTTGAAGAATTTCAGCCTTGTTTATATTATGATGGCAGCATTAATTTTTCAACCTTACAGAGCAGGCATTTGCCAGGAGGAAGGTACAGATATTTTTTATTAACAGTGACCTGACAGTGTATTAATCACAGCCCCACCTGGACAGCGAGGTACGCATTGCGTGCATGCAGGGCACTCTGCATTTCTCTTGCAGGCAGCACATGTGTTTCTTTAAGCAGAAATGATTTGCAGAGTGTATTTTGGAGCAATTTTCCATGTGTTACTTCATCCCCCTTCGGCAGGGAGTGCAAATAGAACAGACATGCCAACATTTATTAGAGAAATAAAAACGTGAAATAAAACTTGAATGTAGGGGAATGGATAAAAAAAAATACATAAATATATTTAAAATAATACAGAAATAGGTATGTGTAATTCTTTAGCCACAACAACAGTGGCTCAGCCGTAAGTCTTGTTGCACAGCCGCACAGGGGATAAGGGGGCATAAGGAGTTCCCCTCTTCAGTAAGTTGTCATAACCAAGCCTGTTCAGGGAAAAGACCAGCCATTTTTGGGCTGGGTGGGAGATGGACAGTCAAGGGTGAAATTCAGTGGGTCTTCAGATTCACTCTGTCCCTGCCTGCCGGCTCAAGTCTGGCTTAAGCCTGGCAGTCAGTACAGAACAGTTAGCTACCCCTGCAAGATGCTCCCCCTGGAATAAACTAGATCATGACCCTCAGGATCACACTCATGTACCTGCCTTGCTTCTAGGGTGTTGGCTGGATAGGTAGCCAGTCCAGCCATTTGCACCCAGCCAGAAACAATAGATGTGCCCAGCCACAAGCTGGGTGAGGGAGGCTGTTGTTACACTCCCATTGGTGGTAGATAGCAGTGTCTGGCCCAGCAAAGGTGGTATTTGTCCATACCCTCCATGTCAGGAACTGTTCCATCCATTTCACTCACCTCCGTAGCAGAGGATTTTCCAAATACAGGTGATCCTAGAGGTGACTTTTCAAAAATGCTTCTCCTGTCCTGACCATGAGTTGATCTTTGCATTAGCTTAACAAAGATGCATGATGGCAAGCAATACTAACATAAGCCGTTTGTTGTGGCCAGGTGAGCATCGGATGCCCTGAGAAAATGGAACCCATTACAAAGATCTCGCATATCCCAGCCAGCAGATGGGCTCTGTCCTGCAGTCTCTGTAAGGAATGCACGGGGACATGTATCCAGGTATGAATCAGCTTAGAAAGCTCGATGGACACATTTGGTCTCTCACATGCTTTGGAGGGCAAGGTTTGACCCGAGTGTGGGAACAAGTGTCTGAGTGACAGGTGCCAGAGGTAATGGCAAGGTGCCCAGGAGCCGATCAGGCACCACCATGTGTTGTTGTTTGTAAGTTTTTAATAAATTAACTGCTGTGAATCTAGATTAACTTTCTTTGCGTAACATGAGGATGTTGCCGTAGTGATACTGTAATTACAGGGACTGAAAACGACACTGGTCTGAAATCAGAAACCTGCTACAGCGTGCCTAGGACTATCTGCCAAAAATAAGGGACCTGTGAGCTTTTATGCCTCAGGATTTCACATACCCGTAGCGCTAGACACGGAGCAGTTCTTCATTGGAAAGCCACGATTTGAAATCTGCACTTGATTTTAAATGTATCAGCTAACAAATTGGCATACTTAACATTTACTACACCCCAACTTTTTACCTGCTCTTTTTACCTCACCTCAGCGAATCACAGCAGGTCTCCTATTTACTATCCTTCCTGCAGCCACGTTACTAAGTTTTCCTTGTGGAAAGACTCAGGTATCACAAAAAACTGCGTTCTGACAAGGCACTGACAGTGATGCAATCCTGCGGCACCTCCCCTCCACCTGTGCAAAGAGCCCTGACTACAGGGGAAATGTGGTTTTCCACGTATGGCAATGGGACAGAATTTTTGGAGTTACGTGTCCGCACCACTGCATCCGTCAAAGCCCAGTTACAGGTAGCTCCTTCCACTTCACCTCACTTTGATGTTTGGGAGGGTGCCACAAGGGCAGGCCAGAGGGAGAGCAAGGGAAAAGCTGGTGGATCTCCTGCTATGCGCTACCAACTTCAGAGCTGCTGTGACAACCACGGAGTAACTCTTTAGCTCCCTGAATTGAGGGGAAGTTCCTACCCTTGTGCCAAGTCCAGGAACTCAAGTCTAATGCAGAGGTAGAACTTGGCCCCTCTACACGACATAGCAACGCTATGTAGATGACAGGGAGTAAGTGGCTGATTGAAGAATGGTGATATAGCCTGAACTGGCGAGAAAGCTGCAAGCCTCCACGGTGTTTATGAACTGCACTGATTTTAATACTTTAAAGGGAGCTGTTGAAAAGCAATCCTTTTAGCTCCAAATGAGATCTCACAATGTTTCTTTAAATCTCCAGCCTTGACTCACTTCATTCTGATGGCTCTGGGTGGATCTGCTTATTCACCCTGCCAGATGGAGATATTGTGTCATAATGGCAATTGCTTTCAAAGAACGGAAGGGCAGGGAAACGAGTCAAATAGACTTGGCAGCATCAAAAAGACTTCAGATTCTCTAAGTCTTCATCCTCTTAGCACAGGCATCACACGTGTGCTGCGAGAACCTTTGGATTGAATGGATTTGCATTAAAGGTCACCTGAAATGGAACCCGGTGTTTTATTGTCTCATGTGCTGACAATTTACCCTTTATAAGCCTTCATAAGATTGCCACTGGAATGGCTGACTGTGCCACCCTAACTTTCGCAGGACAGTTCTGCTGAAAGGGAGAGGAATAAGCAGCCAGTGACTTTATTTAAGGCTTTATGAGTAACTAAGCAGCAGGCTGACCTACAGAGGTAAATAAGCAAAGAGTCTTCCACTCTTATCAGAAGTACAAAGCTCTGTGTTTGCAAAAGTGTATATTTGTGCCGCATGTTTTTGATCTGTGTCTATTGATGCAGGTGTAATGTAACCATCTCTGTCAGCAGTGCAGGTTTACAGCAGCTTTAGAGAGAGAGAGAATCTTTTTGCTAAAGCACTTAGCGCTAACTCCTGACAATGGCAAGTAAATGTTTATGGTGCGGACAGGTCTATTACAGCTGGATCGTTAGAAAGAGCTCATCTCAGCAGCTTCCAGTGCTGGCTTTTCCAAGTGCCCAGTCTGACTTGGTTTCATTGAACCAGCAGACCGAGACTGTGAAAGGTGAATCATCCCTTAAGGAGAAGAGGGCTTGTGCTTCAGAGAAGGAAGGTGGGGGGCATTCCTATTTTCTACTGACGCACAGAACCAAATCTTCATTTTAAGAGATGGAGGCACATCCCTTAATGTGTACACAGTTACGGTGTGTGCAAGTGGAGTGAATGTACACACCGATTGCAACGCAGCACCCAACTAGCTGCACACAACTCCGTGCACCGAATTTGAACGTGTAGCTGCACCTACCTCCCTGGGCACCAAGGGAATTTACTCCGGGTAGCCTGCCAGGTCTGACCACCAGCAGAGTGGAAACAAGCAAGCAGAGCAGGGAGCTGAGCAGGAGGGGCTGACCTTGCTTCATGTGCATCATCATTTCCTCCTTGTTTTTCTTTCAGAAAGACTAGGGGTCAGCCCCTCAGCTAGTGTAAATCACTACTATTCAGTTAAATGCAATGCTGACAAGATGGCTATGTATAAGAGCTGTTTTCCAGGCTTCTACTCTGGGGAAATCATGACTTCATAGTGGTTGTTGTGGTTAGACGTGAGACGGTGCCAGAAGGAGCCTGGCCTCTTGGAATTGTCTTGTTTACATTGCTGAACCAGCAAAGACAGTCCAAGGAAGCGTACTGATGATGTGCCCCCGAGGTGCTGAGAATACAGTGTACCAGCACCGAAGAGACGGAGCCGTGCAGCCAGGCTGGTGAAAGCAGAAGCCGATGAAGCATCAGACTGTTGCTGGCAGAGCATGTCATTGCCCTTGTGTGAGAGGGCAGAATGCCAGTTCTCCATCAGCTGGCAGACCTTGGCCCTTCTGAAGACATCATCTCGTGATATTATTATCTTTTTTTCCCTTCCTTTTTTAGGGAAATGACTCAGGTCCTGGGAAGGTGTCGTCTGCCATTTAAATAGCTCTGTAATATTTTCAATTTGGTTTCAGGCCTGAGAACAGTATGGAGACCTTGCTGGGATCTTCTTGCTAATGGCTAAAAGTGAGGAGTCACACCTCGGACTGGCTGAGTAGATAAGAGGCCAGCATTTTTTGCAGATTCTGCATGAAGTCAAAGCCAGAGTGCTGGGAGGGAATGAAGACCATTTGGTCACTAGAGATCAACATTCATTGCCTGGAGAATTACAGCTCATTGTGGAAACTTTTCCCCAAGTTCGAAGCAGAGAAGTCCTTTAGTTCCAGGCCTGCTTTGATTGGAACTGTTCAGTGCTGAAGATGTGCAGAGGTCGGGGGAAACGAGTGTCACGTGTGCGCTCCAGGATGCCAGCCATCCTACTTCTCCCTGTCAGCCAGTAAGAAACCAACAACCCAGCCCAGAGCTAGGACATTTCTGATACAGGAGAGCCCCTCATGCAAAGGAGGTGACATCCAGATCATTTTTGGCAACTAGGAATACCATGGCCCATTTCATAAGATCACAGAGGTATCTGCTCTAGGGTCCTGGCAAGATTTCAGCTTTGGTAATGACATTCATTCTCTCTAAATTTTCCCTCCTGTTCGGCTGGATTTTGCATTGACTTCACCTCCTGCTCCAAATCTGCTGGGTAGCATTGCCGTGAGCTGTTAAACAGCTGTTGCATTCCACCGCCACTGGTGAGTGATATAATCCCCGTATCTTCACTCCACAACGAACCAACTAATGAGCAGGCCAAATTTACCTCTGGTGCAACTCCACTGACTTCCTTGGCCTTACATCCAAGTACAGATGGACTCCACGTACAGCCACCCATGCAAGTATTGTGAGAGCCAAGGAGCTGCCCCAGTCTCTCATGTCCCAGCTCGTTCTGCTTGTCAGACTCCTGTCTTCCCTGAAGAGCAGGCTCGTTCCATTGGCATTCTGTGCTCATGAGAGATTTGATGGATCAATATGTTTTTATTGTCAGTTTATGCAAGGTCCTTTGGTAGCTGCTGCTGAACAGGTACCTTTCATTGTTGCCCTGTCAGCTGAGCTTGCTAATTATTTTCTATTTGCATTTTGGGCACGGTCTCTGACAACTGCTACTTGCCATCTGTTGGAGGAGAAATCCAGGATGAGTGTCAGTCTGTTTGTTTTCTTTCTAAGGTAGTGCAGATTATCTTTCCTGTGTAAAGGGCGAGCTGTAGTCTGTTGTTCTGGCAAAAGCCACAGACACTTTAATAATGATATTAATACTGTTAGTGACGTAAATAGGCAGGAGGAAGGCAACGCTGATGCATGTGTTTTATTAACTTAAATAGTTCACTGGAGCCAGTAAGTTCTTGTTGTCCACTTTTGCTACAGTACAGTAGCTATTTATGCACATAACAGCATAAAGGATCTTCCCAATGATTTAGTTTAAAGTACCCCCAGATGTTATGCCAATATAGAAACAATTGACTACATCAGTAGCTAGATAGCTCTATGCAGTAAAATTACCATGTTGGCAACCAGACAAGAAAACTCAATCAAGGAAACATACAGTTGGCAAAGATCTCCTGTCTTAAAGTGCCATTAGAGTCAGGAAAGTGACTCCAGCGAGTGACACTGCATTTCCTCGTTGTATTTATTTTCTAAGAGACTTTCATATCACGTGTGTGCAGTTTAAAAGCGAAAAGGTGATGTGCTGGCTCTACCGAATAAATCAGGAGGCTGGAAATCAAGTTGTGCTCTCTCTGCCCCCTCCATTGTTACCAGAAATAACGAGGCTGCTTTCTGCACTCAGCTGGCACTTCTGTGACACCAGCTTCCTCTGCAGTAGCAACAGTGGTAGCCATGAAAACATCACTTCTGACCAACTGCTTCTACATGGTGGGACCCGAGATACTGGTGTTAGTTCTCACCATAAGTACAGGGAAATATGGTGATGTCCCTATTACCAGATTTGGCTTATCTGGATACATAGTGACACAATCAGAAACAAGGTACAAATGAGCTTACTTAACTGGGGTAAGGAATGGAGGGGCTGGGTGGCAGAAGGAGCTAATGCATTGTTTGCCTTTCACTTCTGGAGACATGGTTTCAAATGTGGTGTGGAACGCGACCAGGTGAGCCCTAGGATCACAGTCTAATCACTGATGGATAGTTGTGGTGATCTCAGCATTGGCAAACTCAGAGATCCACTCTGGCACGTTACCGCAGTTCTGGCACAATTGGCAGCTTCTGTTTGCCAGAGAGAACGAATGCTGAGAATCAACAGGAGGAAGTACGGGTCAGGACCGAGCAGGGCTTGATCTGAAGCCCACTGAAGTCTTTATGAATCTTCCCACTGGTTTCAGTGAGAGTCTCAGCATGAATTCTCTCTGGCATGCAGGTCTATGCGAGCAGCAAATGTGCTATGTGCCGTGCCTGGCCCAGGACAAAGTAATCCCTGGCTTTCACCATCACTGGTGAATTCATAAACAAAGTAAAGGGAAAATAGCTAAAAACAGCAACGTGGAAAGCTTGTGCTTAGTGACTTAATCACAGGGCATGAATCCAAGGCTGATGGACAAAGATATAGAAGTAATGAAGCTTTGCACTCCAAGTGCAACTTGAAGTGTTTTTCTGTTTGAGCCTGACAACCTACTGCAACCCTCCCCCAAAAGGAGCTGCGTCCTGAATTGTTTATCAGCAGCCTTCAGGAAATATCACACATTTTAATGTGGTCATTCATGCTGGAACTGCTCATTTTTTCTCCCCACAAGAACAATGTTATATAAGCTGCTAAATGTGGTGTCTACAGTAATAAGCTGCTTAGAATGGCTCGTTATTGCAGTTTAACTGGTCATTACCAGCTGGAATAAACTGATTTCTTATGGGTTATGGTTTAAATAACTACCTGACACTCTGAGCCATTAAAAAAGAGGTAATGAATAGAGGGTGAGAGTGTTCTGAAATGTGTACAGCCAGTGAGCGTGCTTTCTGCAAGAGGAAATCATTTTTTTTAACTTTTGCTGCCTGTGGAATCCAGAGTAATTTAACCTTGGGGGAATTTAGGGAACTTGCTTTAAATTCTGATCTAAACTAACTTTTTTGACCACAAGTTAGCCACTGCCCCAGTTTCCTCCATTAACGGTGATGATGCCTGTTGTAGATAAGCTGAGGGTCCCTTTTTCCCTCTTTTTACTCTTTTTAATGAAACTAATTAGAGGCTATGGAATTTCAAAGGGAGACTCACTTTTTAATAAGGGCAGTATGCTTCAGGAGCATTGGAAGCTCCTGAGATTCCAGTTTTATTCATGAACTTCAACCCCCTCGATAGGCTTCAAATAAATTCAGTGTGGTGGGTTTTAGGTTTTTAAAAAAGGAAAAAGTAATATAATTCCTGGGGGAATTTGCAGGGAGAGATAAGTTAATTCTTGTATCAGGAGAGACCTATTTGCCAACAACAGTCATGTTATCATTACAGCGGTCCACAATACTGACAGCAGTATTGGACATACCATTGGAAAGCTTATTTTATGGAAGCAAAAGAGAGCCATGATCTCAACATGGAGGATAAGAAAGATTTTAGGACTGATATTAAAAGGGGCTAAATGGATGTAGCAGTCTGATGAAGACTGGGTTTCTTCTGCTAGGACATTTCTGATAATGGTGACTGGCTTTGCACATGGGATTTGGGAAGTGCAGTCATTTCCCATAGGGGTATCTGGTTTTTGCACAGTGTCAAGTTCTTATTCCTTGACCCTGTCAATCAGCCGGGTGCCCTAAAGTAACGTGCAGTCAGTTACTGCATTAGACATGCTACATTCATGCTTTTTATAGGCAGGCCAGGCTCTCACATGTTGTGATCCTTTCGCAGTGGCCAAGTATCGCTGCAGTCAGTGATACCCTGTTTACAGCCGTTTAACAGGAGCGAGCACGTGTCCAGTCCTTCAGTGTACCAATAAAAAAATAATGACAGTGAGTGAAATAATCCAAGTTCTTTGCTTTGTCTTCCCTCCAGTGCTCCATGCCCGCCTGCATCACTGCATTCCACGTCACGTGCGCCTTTGATCACAATCTGGACATGCGGACTATTTTAGCGGAGAATGACGAAGTGAAGTTTAAGTCCTTCTGCCTTGAGCACAGCAGTGGTGCCACTAAGCCCCCAGACGAGGCACGGACTGAACCCGACCAAGCCCAGCTGGACTTAGAAAAGGTCACGCTACGGAAACAGAAGCTCCAGCAGTTGGAAGAGGATTTCTATGAACTTGTGAAGCCCTCAGAGGTGGCTGAGAACCTCGACATAAGTGAGTCGCTGGTGGATTTTGTGTACCAGTACTGGAAGCTGAAGAGAAAGGCTAATTCCAACAAACCGCTGCTGACACCCAAAACAGATGAAGTGGACAACTTGGCTCAGCAGGAACAGGATGTGCTCTACAGACGCTTAAAGCTCTTCACACATCTCAGGCAAGACCTGGAGAGGGTGAGTACACCTTCTGCTACCCTGATTCTCTCCCAGTCACCCAGACACTTCTAGCAGGCAGCTGCTGGAAAAAGCCATCTTCATCTCTGTCGACCTGGTTAGCTCTTCCACAGGGTCTGGCCACTGTAAGTACTCTTCTGTGACTCGTCTGCTCTGCCCTGTCTGTTTGCTCTCAGTACCTGAAGTTCTGCATAAAGCAACTAGTGTGTTATCAAAGAAAGGAACAGAAACCCCCCCCAGACCTCTTCACTCTTTTTTCTCCTCATGCATAAGCACAGGAATATTTTCTTTTTAAAATGTGCCAAATGTTACAGTCATACTGTTTCCCTGCTCCAGCTCAGGTCCTAACGGATATGTGCCTTCATCACAGGATGCCAGCACAGCTGAAACGAGTTCCTGTGAGTCCCAGCAGTGACATCAATTTCTGAATGTGCATTGAGTTTAACCTCTGTTCTCCGCTCCAGAGGGGAGCCCTCTCGCACAGGGGAGAGACCCACTGCCAAGGCAGCACAGCTACCTGTGCCTTGCCCGCTCTGGGAATAAAGGGCCATTAACCGGACGGGGAGCCAGACTGTGCCGATAGCCGAGTGTCATTTCCACCCCATTCACCAGCGTGAAAACCACGTTAGACACAGAAATGGAATTTGACTTTTTTTTCAAAAGCAAATAGTAAAGACAAATCCAGTGGCATGAGTGAAACATGGGGCCAATGGATGTGATGCTCTTATGTGGGGTACAGATCACTTCCTCTGGGATGTTGCTGTGTGATCAGAGCCCTGTGGCACACACAGGCACATCACAGTGAATGGTGCCCAGAAAGGTTTGCTGCTCCTCAGGCCACCGCCAGGACAGTCCTCCACTTGGCCCGTGTCCTCGAGGGCACCACGCTGGCTTGTTAAGGAAGAATCAACGTCAGCAGAGTTACAATAATAAACTTTTGTGACAGGTCTTGCACTGAATGCCGTCTGCCCTCCCCTGCTGCATTGGCTTCTGGCTCCGTGCTTGTAAGCAGGCAGTAAAGAGAAATGTGTAAGGGAGGGGATCTCTGAAACGCCACGCTGCCAGTGCCCTTAGTGTTTTGTCAGTCTCATTTGCCTGAAAGGAGCTAGCAGGACTTAGGGGGAAGCAGAGGCCATTTGGGAGAGGGGCTGGGTACTGTGCAGAAGAGACGAAAACAAGAGGGAAGGAAGCAATACAAAATGTGTCGTGAAACAACACAAAATTGGGGAGAGAGGGTTGGGAAACTCCATTGTCGCAGGAAGGAACGGTGCACAGGACGTCACGTCAGCGAGTCGTGGAAACCCCTCTGAGCTCATAGGGGCCTTGCTCTTGCACAAGCAGGGCAGAGGCACTGCTAGAGGTCCTCTCTGCTGCTGGCAGGGGTCATGGCGGGTGTCTGTGGCTCTAGTGGGAGGCTGAGAGGGAGAGTTTGTTTCTGCCGCTCTTGCCTTCCCACCTCCTCTGAGCGCCTGCCTTCCCTGCTGCTCCTTCTGGGACAGTGGGAGCACTCGACTCTTGCCAACAGCCAGGCCCCTCCAGCAGCGCAGCCAGCGCTGTCCCCTCTGCTTGACCAGCGGCAAAGGAGACCCTTGGCCCCAGGTGAGGTTGAGCAGAGAGCATGGCAGCCAGGCCTGCTGATGCCTTCCTTGTCTTTCAGAGCTGTTGTAAGACCCCTGTTAATCAGGTACGTTTAGCTCCTCAGAATAAAGGCCCTACAGAAAGGTGCGTGCTTATTGTAGGACAGGAAATATTTTAGCCTTGGGCTATGCCCCTGCAATGCATCAGGATTTCTCTGTTACCCGGACTGGCATTTTAAAGAAGGAGCATTCAGCATGACTTGCTAATGCTTTCCAGGAATGCGAGGCCCACAGAGCCTCTCTGTTTCACTGACATGAAAGCCCAGTCACCCAGAAACCTAGCACAACCTTGTGCAGTCCAAACCAAGCTGTTTGCTTGTGGTGTCAAGGCACTGGCTTCAGTCACTCTGCCGTCCCTCCTCCGTGCATTGGGAAAGCCTCGCCCTGCCTAGAGACCTTCCACTGGATGCAGATGTCTGCAGTCAGGTTTCTTGTCTGTGACAGTCGCAACCCTTCTGTCTCCTTACAACCCTTGCCGAAGTCCCCTTCACTGCCTACCCCAGCCTCCCTTGTTCCTGCCTTTACTGTTTCATGGTTAAATCAGTGAAACACCCTTTCTGCTGGAATCCCCCTCCCCTGTTCCTGTCTATTCCTGTGTCTCTACTGTAGGAGTTCCAGTAAGACATTTTTAGCTTATTCCACAAGCTCGCTGTCTCAGATCAGCTGCAGAAAAAAAGCTGTACGCTTCCAGGAGTGTCATATCAACATCTGAGACTGCTTGGGTACGAGGGAATGGGGGTTGTTTAGCAATGTAAATGTGTAAATATCAGCAGTCTCTAAGCAGAGGGCAAATGATATTTTCTTCTAGGAATACAAAATCAGAGTGGAAAAATATTGCCAAACATTTTGATAGAAAAGTTGCCGGAGGCAACGGTTTCCTTTGTAAAGAAATTTTAGTTTGATGCTTGGTTCCATCCAGAACAGAAAGAAGGGGACATAGTAAAGCATACAGCATTTGAATCACCCCTTTGCCTCTTCATGTAAGGAACTTTAACAGAAAAGAGCGACTTTCCCTCCTGCAGAAGTAAGTGCTTCCAAATTGTTCTGAAGGAGAACGTAAGCTCCAGCATAACCTTCTCCTAGGACCCTAGCGGTTCAGATGTGTGAGCCTGTCACTCAGAACCAGGGTCTGGCAGTAAGGTCTATCCCATGTCAACTCCAAAAAGATGCAGCTCAGACGAGATCCATAGAGCCGATAGAAGAGCTGATTAGAGAGCAAGGCATGTGTAACTGTTCTGCAGGGAAGAGGGAGACAACAGGACTACCTGCAGTCCTGGAAGGGCATGAACATGCCAGAGGGCAAAGCAATATTTGAGTTGCTGCTGGAGGATCTGTTAGTATAACACTGTCCAATTTAGAAAGAAGGTTATGCTGATTATCAGGCCTGGCAAGTGAGAGCTCCTGGATTGCAGAATTGTCTGCTCTAGAGAAATAACGGATGCCCCATTGACTGGGACAAACTGTTAGAAAACGTACGGCAGGCACTAACCCTGCTTGCGCGGCACATGGACTTGCTGGTTACACAAGCCGGCTCCATTCCTGGGATCCTGCTTTCTCTCTCTATCTGTATTTAACTATTTATTTTTAAGATTGAAAAAAAATCAGTAACAAATAGCTAGGATTGCCCTGGTGCATTAAAAAGCACAATATTTCTTTGAGCACAGGGGCTCTACCTCTTTCATGACATTGGTTACGAGCAGTTGTTTTGTTTGTCTAGGCTGCTATTTACAATTCAGATGCTGGAAGCTTGCTGTCAATGTGAAAATTCATGCACATTAATTCATTTGTAAAGAGAGAGCAAATATAGTGTGGGGCAAATGTAAATACACGATGTCTCCGTTACCACAGGCAATGCAGCTTTAAAAAAAAAGCTGACAGCCTAGACTGCTGTTTATCATTTTGGTATCAGACATTAGGGAAGAGGGGAAAAAAAGGTCAGGCTTGATGCGTCACCATTAGAGGCGCAGCGGCTCCCGGACTCTTACAGAGGAGGTAGCCTGTGAATCGTAAAGAGTCCCGCTCCATGGCTTGGGGAGGGAAGGAAGAACCCAAAGGAGAAGTCTATGGGCGTGCACCAATGTGTCTGCTCAAGTTATTCAGCTCCTGGGAGCCAACTTTTGCTTCCTGCTTCATTGCCTGTAGCTGTGCTCCTGGGCATCCATCTAGTTCAGCTTTGGGAGAGTCAAGACACTGAGTAAATATTCCCTGTCAGGTCAGATTAGATCCCATTTGCATTTTGTCTTTTACCCATTTCCTCTAAAAGATGTTGCCCCTTCCCACTGAGGCGGCAGTCACAGCATCACTCCAGCACAAGCAAACATTAGCTGGTGTCACCTGGCATTTGTGCTGACTTGGCTTGCTTATCAGTAGTTCCTACACGGGCATATGATGGGCTGCTCAGGTCAAGTACAGATGATTCACATGCACATGAGGGACCAAATCCTGTCCATGCCAGGATGCCTCCTGCACTCTTTGCACCAGGGATGGCATCACACGGGGCTGCAACAGCGAGCTGTGAGATGTACTCTGCTGAGCAGGAGCAACACATGCCCCTACAGCCTGTTGGATTTTGCTGCTGGTGGCACTAACCGGCTGGCACAGGGAAGGAGCTCACGCCAGGTGTTACCGAGAGGAGAGCTTGGCTCATTCAGTGTGGAGCTTCCAGCAAGTCAGGTGGGCTGAGGGCAGAAGCAAAACGACATCTCTGCTACCTCACTCCCTGCCCCGATGATGCCTGAGAAAAGGCTTGGACCATAAATAAAACCCTGCCACAGGGGAGCTGCTGATTTCTATCCCTACACTGGAGTAGAGCCGAGCTCTACTGTCATTAATACCTGGTGTGAGCTCCAGTTAGTACCACCAGCAGCAAAATCCAACAGGCTGTAGGGGCATGTGTTGCTTCTGCTCAGCAGAGTGCCTCTCACAGCTCACTGTTGCAGCCCCACATGGTGCCATCCCTGGTGCAAAGCGTGCAGGAGGCATAGGTGACTGGTAGGGGACGCACGTGCCCCTCTGAGAGAGCTACCTCTGCTGCCGACACCACCAACGGCTCTGTCCCCACCGCTGACGCTGCTTGTAGCGTCTGCAGGTGCTTGCCAGCCCCCTCCCCACCGCCAGCTTCTGCAGGTGCCCCCCCAGACTCAGGAGGCACCAGTCGCCAAGGCAGGAGGCATCCTGGCACAGACAGGATGTAGTCCCTCGTGCATGTGGATCATCTCTACTTGACTGCTACCACCTAAGCAGCTCAGGGCCCCAGTTCTTCAGCTTGAGGGCCGATCCTGAACTCCCGGGCCATTGCCCAGCTGCAGGAACCCTCTACCTGCAGTGGGACTGACCTGTGAGGAAGTAACTTGACACTTTTCCCCCTTCCCCTCCCCTCCTTCTGCGGTGGAAGTTGCAGCAGGCGCCCTGTGGTTGGAGGGGACAGCTGTCTGCAGGCGGGTTGCTGTCCCTGCTGAAATTCCTGGCGTGGCCAGGTTTCGTGCTAGCTAGAGCACTTCTGTGGAGCGTTTATCATGAGTGGTCTTCAGGAGGTGACCGTCCCTCCGGCGCATCCAGGACAGTTTCGACTCTCCAAGGACTGGGTTTAGTTGCAAAGCTTTGCTGTTTGCAGCTAGAAAGTTTCTCTAGTGCGACTGCATTCCCCAAGCTAGACCCAATACGCCAGCAACTAACAGCTAATATTTGACTCATCTGAGTAAACAACAGAAAGGGTGGCGGTGGGCCAGGCTCTGGGTTGGTGTTTATTGACACAGCTTCAGGGAAGTCAGTGGCCCCAGGCCAGTGCTCACCAGCTGAGGTCCCAGCCCGCTATCTGTTCTGTACTTCATATCTCATGTGCAGCGTCCTAGCATCTGGCTTAGAGCGACAGCCAATTTTGTGATCAGCCCCTGGTTCTCAGTCGCTCAGTAGCATGGATAGGGTGAGCAGTGCAACGAGCTCCCACAGTTGCTTTTCCTCGCTGCCTGACCCTGTAGCCCAAGCTCAGATGAAACTTCTTTGCTGATTTCAGTGAAAATAACATGCACATGAGAAGGGCAGGATTCAGCCAAGGGGGCACTATACCACTGGGCTCTTAGGAGTTTTTGTAAAAGTTTCTAAATCAAGTGCAAACGGGAAGAAAATGCTACCCATGTACACATGTGTGCGCACAGTGCAGATCGGGAGCTGGGGTGAGTAGCCCCATTGAAGTCATCGGAGAATCACTGATGAACTGATAGTTGGCAGTTTTGATCACGGTGTCAGCCAGACCTCCACTGTGCTCCTTATACCTCTGCATGTCAAGAAACACCTTGCTCTTCTCTGGTAAGATATTCCTCACATCCAAGGATCTCAGAGCTCGTCAGAGTCATTCGCTTCCTCAGTGGGTGTCTGAGCATCAGTCACCATGTAACATTAAAGCCCAGCTATTGACCACAGTGGTTGCAATGCTAATCCCCATCAGTCCAACAGGGTAAGATGGTCAAGTAATTTAAACTCTGACCCCCATGGGTTCTGTCTCCCAGTGCTTTCATTCAGATTAATAGCCTGGTTTAAAGGTCACCCCACAGCCTGTGCTGGAAGTCAATCCAGAGTTGTTGCACCAGGAAGTAGATGCAGAAGATGAAATCTCTCTCCTTCTTTGTGTTTGCCTGAGCTATTCTGGACTGAGGCACCTGGCGTCTCTGGTGCTGAAGTCCGGGGCTTTCCTATGAGCTCAAGTTCTTGAACTTTGACTGGGATGGTAAAAGTTAAACGTTAACTGGCTGATCCTTACCCTCAGCGGAAGATGATCACGTTTGCACAGAACGGTGACCACATTGCGTTTGTGAATATGTCATATGTTATACGAAGGGTGCGAGGAGCAGCTTCTAACCAGCACAGTCTGAGCACTCCACAGCACTCCCCTGCTTCGTTTCCTCAGTTTTCTTGGAGAAGAGGGTAGAGTCTAGGAAGGAGATTAGTGGCATCACCTCTCTCCAAACTGGGTACCACAGCAGCAGAAACCTGCGCCTGTGCCCTGATGAAGCTGTGTCTGGTGACCTGTGTATAGAAACTGTTGTGGGTCCTTGAGTGTGCCACACCACCAAGCATCCACACTTTGTATTAGAAAGGCCTGCAAAGCAGCCCTCTGTAGATGCTGGGGGGATAGTGGAGTGGGAGGGCAGCCTCTGTACTGCACTCCCCTGCACCCGAGCACAGGGCATGCATGGGAAGAAAGCAGAAAAAAGCTCCTTTCCCGGTGCAGGTGGCAGCCATGATGTGCCTTCCTTGTATTAGGGAGGGTAGATGGGGTGGGCAGCAATGTACCACATCTCAGAGGGAATACGGCTGGACTGGGTGCGGGTGCATCCCTGGCACCTTTCATCCCAGCATGTTGGGAAGTGTCTGAAGGGCTGCACTTAGGGAGTACTCACTGTACCTTGTTTGCAGAGAGGGATCTGCCAGAGCAGGTCTGAGCCCCTAGAAACCCTGTTTCTTCTTTGCCTTTCTAAACATAACGACATTTGCACCATGCACCTGCCCTCTCCCTTCCCTGGGGGGGCTCCAGTTCTCAGGATCTGAAAGGGGCCTACAAGCTTTGTCCCTCTTCTCTGATGAATGTCTTTATTTTTATGTCCACTAGCTGATTTGGGCCAGGAGTTTTGGAGCTGGTGATATCCTGTGTCCTGCAGTCCTGGCCCACTCAGAATTTCCCCAGGGGGAGTTTTCAGTGCACCAGGAGTGCAGGGCTGTCCGGCCAACAGTGAAATGGACAGAAAGGGTGAGGACAGGGAGGCCAGGATTTCTCCGGGCAGCAGACGCGGGGCAGTAGTTAGAGGCAGCAGTGGGTCAGCCAACTCTCCAGGAGCACTGCTGGGAGCCTGGAGCTTTTCGAGGCCTTTCTTACAGTAGGAACCCTGTCTTGTGTTTCGCAGGTTCGAAATCTCTGTTACATGGTAACAAGGCGGGAGAAAATGAAACACTCCATTTGCAAGCTGCAGGAGCAGATCTTCCATCTCCAGATGAAGCTCATCGAGAAGGATTTTTATCCAGGTAGGGGCTGGTGCTACTGCTGGGGCTGGGAGAACTTGTTACTACAGATGTTTGCCTTTCTCGTGTGCACCATAAGGACATCTCCAGGGTGCAGTGGTGGCAAGCTTGCCATGTTGACTGCCCCCTGGCCTTGTTTATGACAATAAACTCATGGCTGCAGCAGCTGCTGAGAAGTGCAGCAAGTTAAGCACAGCTGCTGGCATATCCACATCCACTGTGGGCTTGTGAGTAGGACACTAGGACACAGCCCTGGGAGTCAAGACTGGTCCCACCACACATTCACTGTGCACCTAGTCTGGTCATTTCAGTGGGAGCAGGTGCCCAAATGAGACTGAGGAGTCACGAAGAGCTGCACCCAGCTCAGGAGTCAGAAGCTGGATTTTCACAGTTAGGGCGGCTAGGAGCTGGAACCAACTTCCAAGGGAAGTGGTGCTGGCCCCTACCCTGGGGGTCTTTAAGAAGAGGCTGGATGCCTACCTGGCTGGACTCATTTGAGTCCCGTTTCTTGTTTTGGGGTTTTGTTGTTCTCCCGCCCTGGCGGGGGGTCGGGCTAGAAGATCTACTAGGTCCCTTCCGACCCTAAATCTATGAAACTATGAAACCTCCTGAGTTGTAGTTTCCTCAAGTGGACAATGGGGGAAGTGGTGCCCACACTCCTTGTCACATGCTACGAGATAATAAAGCTCCGTGTAGGTGATTAGGTATTCTGATGATTATTGTCATATTCAGAAAGACACTTGTCCCATGGCCCAGCCGGGAGTCTGAGGTTATAGCTGTCACTGACCCTCTCCAAAGCACTGATGTTTCAGTTGTCAGAGAGAAATTAGCCAGAAACATTCAGCCATTTGCTTGACAGTTAAACTAAAACAACATGGGCCTGGCCTACTCTTGCAGGACTGAGATGCTCTTGCTGGAGAACATTGTGCCATTGCATCTCCACCTCCTGTCTGGATGGTGATTGCAGTTCCAGGGCACAGATCTATCCGTGTTGGGGTTTCCAGCTGAAACATCTGGCTCCTTGGCATGTTTTAGTTGCACTGGATTCCTTGCAGCGACCCCTGGCTCTGTGAGGAATCAAAGGTTGAGCTGCTGATGGGATGTCTTTGGCTTCTAGGTGCCATCTCCTTTTAACTTTAATAGTCTGCTTTTCACGCTGCTCTATGTCTCTGCCAGCAGAGACCCTCACACATGCAGTTTGGGAAGCCCTTAGAAGTTTGTATTAGGTAACTAACGTCAGAGCAGCTGCTTTCTTTCCTCTTTGCTTTTCTTAAGAGCACAGTGGCTGAGCCGGCACCCTATGAATTTCTCCCCTGTTTGTCAACGGCAGCGCAGGACCCCATCGCCTGGCCGGCAAAACAGTTTTTCCAGTAGCAGGATCTGGCTTTCTGGCAGGCTCTTCTGCCAGTTATTGTTTGTGGCTTTGGAGTTGCCTCTGAAGGCATCACGTTTGGGGTTTCTTCAGGAACTCTCTGGACTGCATTTTCCTGTACAGAAGTTTCCTTTGACTGAAGTTCTGGAGTCTGAGAAATGTACATGTGCAAAAGCCTGGGACTTGGATCCCATTCAAATGCCTCGTGTTAGGCTGTCCCAGGTCACCTTATGGTGCAGAGGCAACACTCCAGGAGTCACACACGGTGTATTCACATGAGCTATGAGCCGAAAGCATATTCACATGAGAAAGCCTGAGCATGTCAGGAGCTGCCTGCCCATGGTACCCAGGAATTGCAGGGAGGGTTGCAGGTTTCCACAACTGTTCAGGTGTTGTGGAGACGTAGCTGTGCAGGACTTTGATTAGATGCTGCTATAGGGCCTGGTTACGGAGGTTTTGAGCACCTGCTCCAACAACCTGACTTATTTTGAATGGTCTTTTATTCCACAAAGCACCCCATTGCAATCAGTGGGATTGCTGATGGACAACAGTAGAAGGACCTAGTTCATTGACCCCATTTTGAGTTGTGGGTCCTCAACACTGTCTGAAAATGACATGCGCATCCCTCATGCCCATGGTCTTCTGCTGAGAGCGTTGCTTTGGGCCTCTGTCTAGTTTCAAAATAACCAGATTGTCATGGGGCAGCCGTTGAACTCCAGAAATCAGAACTGCACTGAATTCCCTGAAGGGGGTTAGGGTTTTCATTTCTTTAACACTGAAATTTTAAAACTTAGATCTGGACATTTATTACTTGTCTGTAACAATGGGAATGGTTTTCAAGTGGACAGTTTTGCATGATTTTATTTCCAGAGAGGGTGTATGTGTACAGTGAGCATATACCAAATGCGGAACTATTCCAAATTCTGTTTGGAGGACTTGAGCTCAGCCATGGAGATGTATGAGAAGTGTTTGCGCCCTGTTACTTAGGCCTTTTCAGCTTCCAATTTTGTGAAGAATTCACAAAATTGGAAGCATACATACATACATACATACAATGCCAGGCTGAATAGGATGGCATTGAGAGAGACCGATCTCAAGGGTTGTACTCACCTGAGTCTGTTAAATCGTTGGCATACTTTCTCCCAAAGCAAAGTCGCTTTCCTTCAGGGAGGGCAAGCTCATTTGGATGGGATGACTCGTGACACCGAGAGACTTGGGGTGCAGAGAGATCATGATGGTTATTTACAAAGCTCAGTTCAGCTCCAGGGAAGTGATTCCTCCAGATCTTGACCCACTCGTGAAAATCTGAAAAAAGCTCAGAAGATTGGGTTGGCTGACAGGAGGCAAGTAGGAGAGAACACATTAAGGGAAGGGAAGGGAAAGATTTTGTACCCTGATGCTCTCTCCAGCTTATTTGTAGCACACGTGTTCGAGATGACAATGTGCTGGGCAAACATGGTGTAGTACCTCTTCCGCTTTAGAAAAATACCATGTAAACTGGAGAGTCCATGTCAGATGCCCCAAAGGAACCTCTTCTGCCCACCAGGTAGGTTTCAGGGATGCTAAAGAGTGACCTAGCCATGGCTCGGGAATGAACAGCAGTATTATACATGGGCTTTTGTGGTGCTAGTGCAGTACTGCTGTGTGATTCAGGATGCTGCTTCAGTCCTCATTGCTTCACAGCAGTCTGGGTCATTTTAAGGCAGGTTGTGGTATAATCTCAGACTGCATTTACAGCTGAGCATCAGCGAAGCAGAATAGGCAGAAGTGCCTAAAGCAGGTTAGGCACCAAACACCATGGTAATCCATGGGAATTCAGTGCCTTGGCTTTTCTGGAGATCACTCTCAGCACCACCCGGCATCCTAACACACTGAAATCCCTTTAGAAATGTGGCCCTTAGTGAATGCAACCATACCTGGAAAACACATTGACAAAACGTAATAGCTGCAGTTTGGCCATGCTTCTATGATTAAAACTAAAATTTGCACTTCCCTCTACTTTACAACAAAGCCACCCAGTAGCGACTGGTGATGCCTAGTGATTAGATCTGTTGTCAGGTCTGAGCTCCAGCATCCCTGCTGGCAGCGTGTTTTGGGAACCTCAGAGAGCAGATGCTCTAGGTTACTATCCTTACAAATGTTGTGTGTCTACGTAAGGAAGACTAGATTGATTCACACGGTGTTTGTTTCTGCCTAAAGGTGAGTTATCACAGAGAGAATACTGTAGTTACCCACTGATTCATGTGACGGCTTTGTGTGCAAGCTTTGTAAGTACTTAATACATTTTGATGCAAATGTTATTTTCTCCTGCTCCAAATGGCACACATTTGCCAATTAGCTTTATGATCTGAACTGACTGGAGCTGAGCTGTCTATCTCGAAGGACAGGATTTTTTCTTAAGGCTGAGAACTGATTGGTAGCCTCTGGTGATGACTGCTGTCATTAGTGACATGGACATGATGCAGAAGAACTCAGGAGTGTAGGACCGCATCCTTAACGGTCTTTGCATGCCCTTTCAATTCATTGAGAGTTAGGCATCTAAATGCCTGGGAGGATGGGGGCCCTCCAGCCTGGTCCTGCTCCCTTTGAAGTCCCTTTCAGTTTTGCTTTTCTATGAGAAGAAGCAGGGAGAAGCCATATAATTGCAAATCCAGATGTAGAGAAGAAATTGTGGCTTCTTTAGCCAGTTAGAGACCCAGACATGTATTATGTGACCAGCATATTAGCATATATCTGTTCCCAGCGGTAGAGCATGGACCTAGCTCTGGCTATATCTATACTCACGCAGGTCAAGAGTAAATCTGCTGAAGTTAGTGGTGTTGCTCTAGTTTAAAATTGGTCCAAGCATGATAAAAATTAGGCCCTACTTTCTAGCTGCTGTTTCTGTGACAGATAAACAGCTCATTCAGGCACTGGCCCTGCCATGACACGGAGTAGATGGATCTATGAAAAGCATTGCATATTGACTTCCTACTTGCCATGTGTTTGACTAAATAACAACTCTTATGCCGAGTCTTATGTTTGTGCATCAGTTCAGTAATCCCAGCGGCCTCAGAAGCTATTAAACAAACCCAAAAAGTTCCTGAGAGTTACATTTCCGTTCTTTTGATCTTTAGCCGAGAATCTTCCCCCAGCAAAAAAGAAAACTTATTTCCTGGAAGCTGATTCAGGGTGGCCCCACTTGCTGTCACTTATGGCTACAGCAGACATTTGGCTCTCCTGGGACGGGTGTTTGGAAACAGAGGATATGAACCCATGCTTTCTTGTTGTCCCTTCCAGTAATTCCTCCCTCATATCCAGCACATGTTCTCCTACTGTGTTGGCCCCGATTACAAGTTGGTGAACAGGATCTCTCGTACACAGGCCGATTCCTTAAGATCTTTAGGACTTAGCGTTGTTTCTGCTGCAGAGTTAGCAAGACGTCTGCTTTTTATCGTTGTAAATATTATCTCAGAGGTGCTTCCTGTGTCAGTATTTACACCACAATTCATGATCATGAATCTACACCACGATTCATGATCACACCAGATAGGCTGCATTTTAGAGCCCGATAATGCAAAATTCTCGTGGT